AAAAGAAAGTAGTTATTTCTAAATTTACTTTAACTTGCATTTCATTGCAGACAATACAAGAAACATTATTTATTGTGTTGCTCATTATTTTTTATTCCAATTTTGGTTCTTGCAACACATAATAAAAAACAGTTGGAGTAAAACATTTACCACTCTGTAATGTTGCTATTCTTTTTCACAACACTTAAAAGAGTTTTGGGGACTGAAGACACCAAATGATGAAGTGTTTCAGGTGTTATTTTGCAACAAAACAGGGTCTTCGTTGTCAAATTTTGCGCTTCAAAATGTGCCACAGATTCTCTACTGGAGACAGGTCAGGACTGCAGGCAGGCCAGTCAAGTACCTGTATCCTGGATAGGTACTTGCCAGGACTTTGTTTGTGGTTCCACATAATTCCTTTACGTTGTCTCAACACAAATCGATTAAGGTAATATAACAAATTGAAGTGAATTTAACATAAACCAATTAAGTTGTCTCTAAAAAACTCCAGAATTGTGTTGATTCAGCTCATCTTAAATAAGTAGTTTGAACAAATAGCAACAATTTTTGTGTTTGTGTGAATTATGAACTCTCAGTAATGATTAAATCTCACTGAACTGAGCTAAACTGAACCGAACTGAACTTAAAGATTAAAAACTGAACTACACTGTTCCAGTTACTATGACCATTTTTGTGAAGCTACTTTGACACAATCTACATTGTAAAAGCACCATACAAATAAAGCTGAATTGAATTGAATTGAATATGAGGAAATCAGGCTTGTGCTAACACCAAGAGTCAATCAAAGTAAAGGAAAATATTTGGTTGCACTTTATATTAGGTGGTTTTAAGTACTTTGTACTTGCATCAAAATCTAAATACAATGTACTTATTGTGTTTATAATGTATTGCAGAACACTTCTGGTGCACTTGAGGTGGGATACGGATTGGGTAAAAGAAATGTTTGGTGGTATGGATAGGTTTAAGGGTGGGTTAATGTGTAAGGGATGGTCAACAATGTTAGTTAATCACAGATGTAATCACATGGCGGTATTTAGTCAATCACAAGTGTAGTGACACAAATGACCATTTTGCCACTTGAGGTGTTGTAGGGTTGTTTCTGACGCGTGAGATCTCAATAAACGTATCATCTTCCAAATACTGCTTATCAGGTTTAATTTTTAACAGACAGTTCTTATGGCTTAATTTCCACTCAGAGTCTGGTACATAAATGCTCAAAAAATGACATTGAATGCCTCCACAAAGTTCATTTCAAACACGGTCAAAAAATGTTGTGCTTCCCTCTATTTACACACCTGCTGTTCTAACTCTTTACCTACCTATATACTTCTCAAAACCCACACTCCACCCAGTGGTCAAAAACAGCATTACAACAAACATAACGGCTCTTACAATAAGTACAATGTAAAAACATGTATTTACACAGTAAGTACATTGAAACAACTGATTAACTTCAGTGTAAGTGCATTATAGTTAAGGCCACCTAATATAGAGTGAGACCAAATATTTTACCCTCCAAAGAGACAACTGGGCATCATTACCTGATCCGCCGTGTCCATCACTTTCACCAAAACCGGCTGCTGGTCCACGACTTCTTCAGAAGAGTAAGTGTCTTCTGAAAATCGAATATGTATAAAAAGCTATTGTGTTTAATGTGTTTTCATTACAAAAAATAACCCAAAAGAACTGTTATTTGCTGAAGCATTAATGATTTTTGCAGCAGCTCAAACACAAGTTTTGCTGGTAACACTTTACTATAAGATTGTATTAGTTAATGTTAGTTAATGGATTTATTAACATGAACAAACAATGAACAATACATTTATTACAGTGCTTGTTCATGTTAGTTAACGTTAGTTAATGAAAATACAGTTGTTCACTGTTAGTTTGTGCATTAACAAGCATGAATTTGGATGCTAATAATGCATTAGTAAAGTATGGACTATCATAGATATTTGCATAAGATGTCGCCTACCCTCTTGTTGTCTACTAGAAGAAATGCGTCAATACAGCCACCATTTTAGTACAGGGTAGCGCTTCTTTGAAATGAATGCGGGACCAATGTGCAGTGGAGGACTGTGGCCATCCAGAGCCAGTGAAATACACAAATATGCATATATCTATGATCGGGAGTTTTTCAGGTGGTCATAATGCAACTTTTTTTTTAATTACAAAAATTACAAATTTTCATCACTTTTCTATATTGAAGGATTAGTGACCGCACGGCCATTCCTGAATAAGAGCATGTGTTTGTGTGCATGGAAGTGTATTATCCTCCCTCCCTGTTAAATTTGATCTAACCCATGTCCTGAAACACAGCCCCCCTCCTCCTTTCACTTCTCATTCTAACGAAGGAAGCGATTCATTTGTGAATGAATCTCCATTATTGTATTGTATATGTGTGACACTGACAACAGAAGTTTGGATCCACATGCAGGTTCATTCAGTGGTCAGGCAAGCAATGGTCAACACAGGTGTAAACAGATATATGAAGACAGTCCAGAATCTGCAAAGGTCAAAACACAGGAAAACAAGACTAGGGAAACACGTTGTAGTGCTACTTTACAGATAACAAGACTCGACCATGTGAATGAGCGAGTGTGCTGCTTAAACAGTGTGTGTAATCAGTCTTTGACAATCCTCAGGTGGTGCGAGTGTAATGAGTGTAAATGAGGAAGCAGGTGTGTGTGGGCGAAGTGCATGTATGAAGTTGTAGTCCATAAACTGGCGGATTTGTAGTTTGTACGAGTGAGAATGTTTTTCAGCGACCTCTGGTGATTAGAGGTCGCTGGTGATTGTGACAATTATTAGCGACTCTTAGCTGACAATAATTGAAGTTTCTAGCACTGCAACATCTCATTGTCATATTTCTTTTGCATTGTTTGCTGATTTTATTCAACAAAACTACTATTTAGTGCAAGTTGGATCTACTATAGCTGCGTCCCAAATGGCACACTATACACTATGCACTCATGCACTTACACACTCAACAGGATAGTACATGTATGTAGTGTCGTCCCAAATGGCACACTAATGCTTTTTTACTAAGCTGAAATTCAAACTGTTTCCCTGATGACGTTTGACGGTTGCTAAATCAGTGAAATAAACGACCGAATTATTAAATAATACCTGCCATGAGTATAACCGCATTCACCATCGGGAGGCGCTATAATCACTCTCGTAGGAGAATTTTGCTTTCACCATCTAAAATAAATAAAGTTATCCAACATGTGCGTTCGATAGCTCTGCTACGCAAGCAAACCTGCGGTCGTTGAGTGCGTGAAGTGTCCATCATTACACACTTCATTTTAGCGGCTGAATGAGTGCATCATCCGGGTAATTAAAGTGCACTTATTATTTTTAGAGTTTTCAGTGTGAACGCACTACTTACACTAGTTATACTACAAAATGGCGTAGAATAGTGCATAAGTATGCGATTTGGGACGCAGCTTTTGCCTTATGGTGAATGCAGTAGTAAGAGACTGTATTATCATCAATAAAGCTACTCGTTCATCACAAAAGTTCATAACGCAAGAAACAAAATCTTACTATAAAATGTTCTGCCTTTGGGATGTTTGTTCATTACTACACCCGTACACAGCGCTAAAATGCAGCATCTTCACATTGGCACACTGTCTTGACTGAGTTCTGTTGAGTGACATTTGTCCTGGGAGCACTGTACAAATGTGGCGGCGCTATTGACGCATGCTCAGAGTCCGTATGCCATATCTAGTGTATATATCTATATTAGTATTATAATAATATTACTTATATTATTACTATAAGTAATAAATGGCGCACAAGTATTGGCCATAATTAGTTCATGTTAGTAAATACAATAACTAATTAAACCTTACTGTAAAGTGTAACAGTTTTTGTCTTAGTTTTTCCAATTTAGGTTTTTTTATTTATGGAGTTTTTCACAAAAACAACATTTAGGGTTTTGCCATGCTTGTGCACTTTATAGTAATGTTTTATTATTATTTTTAGTATAACTTTTAATGAATTACATTTGAACAAGTTGTGAATATGATAAAACCAGGATGAACAGCAAAACCAATTATTACAAACATCAAATAAACTTCAACTGAAATTAAAAAACAAAAGATAAAAGAATTAGTTCTGGGAAAAGAATAATCAAAATTAATCCCATCCAAAATAAATGATGACATTTGATAAATGATGTAAATAAATGATGACAAATGATGTTTTGACATCAGATATGTTTGTGTACTATATGTGTACACATAAATAATAACAAAATTATACAAAACCTTTTTTTTGCATAGATATTTAAATGTATATTTAACTTTAATTTGATGGTGCGTTTGTTGAATTTAAATACATTGCATCTACATGTCAACTAATTCTCATTCTCATTAGATTATAAGTAAACTGTTAGGTGGGGGATAGAGTTAATATAAGTTAATATGAACTTGCAAAGTTTCTTATGGTCAGTTAAATGTCTATCAACAGATATTAAGCAGACAGTATATTAATACTCAAATAGACCATCAAAATAAAGTATTACCATAATTTGTATCAAATGCATATACTTTTATATATAAATAAAATCAACATTTTCTAAAATGTAAACATGCATGTGAGTATTAATATATACATAATTAATATACAGAGTATACAAACATATATCCAAACAAACTTTAATTTTGTAATGAAATTAAAGAAGATTAATCTTTGCCCAGCACAAAAAATACTTATTTTAATACTTTTTTTCTTTATTTATTATTATTAGCTAACTGCTAATATTGCAATAGCTATATTATATTTTAGATAAAATATATAAATCTATAATAGCTAATTGATGACATTAATCATTGTTCTTCAGTTTATCTTAATGTTAAAAAAATAAACCGGAAACGAAAAAAATCAACTAAAACATTCTTTTTTTTTTAACAAAAGCTCTTCAATTTACTAAAATAATAAAATGTCTGTACTATACTATACTAAAAAAATACATATGGAAATAAACTTTTTAAAAATATTAATAAATACTATAATATCACCTTAATTATACTAAAATAACAATAGATACAACAACAAAGGATACATTTGATGTAAAAAAAAAAAAGTGAATGCTGTGCATTAGGAAAAGACTTAAAGCATAGATTTCAAGTGGTTTGGCAAAGCCTGCGAGTCTTAAAATGTCAAACTTGTCATGTTAAAAACATAAAAGCTGTCGGTATAAGCCTTAACTTTTCATCTTCTGCCAGAGAAGGAAGCATGAAAATGAAAATGAGGCTTTACAAGGACTTTTATGTCTCCAAGTAAAACCCTTTTAAGTTTTAAAGTGACTCATCTGACATTTGCTATATTAATTATGTCTAGCTGTAGTAACTAACTTAGGAACAGCATTGGAGTTAGTGATTTAAATGATTCAATTTCAAGTAAGTTTTGCATTTAAACCAGAACCAGCAAAGACATGGAGGACAACATCATTGTCTAGATCAGTCATAATAAGTTCAGTCACTCATATCTGATTACATCATGAAGGCTGAGAAACTCACCAAGGTTTGGGTCATATTCACTGATGAAGCGCTTGGTGAGGAATTTGACAGTAAGTGCTGCGGGGACAGACAAACTTCCTGTAAGTCTCTGAGTTCAGAAATATTTTTGGATTACATAAAAAAAAAAATCCCAAGAGGCTGATGAGAAATCTTTTGCTTTTAAGCTTTTGTCACATGGCCCTTAAAACTGGCACCATAACCGCCTAGTTGATCTTTTTCCCCATTGGTTTTCATGAAAATAAAAACTTAAAATTAGCTAAGAATGGTGTCAGGGACACAAGTTCAAAAAAATTAAACAGAGAGGAATTTAAAAGGGTTAATACATACAGTATATGGACGCCATGTCTCATTTTGGTGTTTACATCTTTATACACAAAGAAAACACATTAACTGCAAGTAACTTTAATGCTTCAAGTGAGTTTAGAGGAAATAAAATACCAACATTGGGAAAAATGTTAAATATTAATTTATGAAACAACATACAGTACTGATTCTGAGCTGGATATTGAATTATACATTATATTGTATTCATTCATTCATTTCCCTAAAGCTTAGCCCCTTATTTATCAGGGGTCGCCCCAGCAGAATGAACCGCCAACTATTCCGGCATATGTCTTACGCAGCTGATGCCCTTTCAATTGATTTAATTTATTCAATTTACCTATAGCGCACACAAGGAGAACATGCACCACACAGAAATGCCAACTGGCCCAGCTGACTCGAACTAGTGACCTGCTTGCTGTGAGGTGATAGTGCTAACCACTGAGCCACCGTGTTGCCTATATTATATTATGTTATATTAATTATATTATATTAAATTATATCATGTTAATTATATTATATTAATTATATCATGTTAATTATATTAATTATATTAAATAATAGTATATTATATTATATTAATTATATTATATTAATTATATTATAATTAATTAATATATTATATTATGTTAATTACATTATATTATGTTAATTATATTATATTATATTATATTATATTATATTATATTATATTATATTATATTATATTATTTTATATTTGTAACGAGGAGTCTGACACGGAGGGATCCATTATGCAGTATTTATTAATCACAACTTCACTCAAACACACAATATGCACCTGGGTGAACACACACATCCACAGTAGTAGTAATGGTTTCAAGAATGACGGTGAACAGACACAGAGTGAGTTACCAGGCATGAGTAGAGAGCAGTGAGCGTGAATCAGAGTCCGTGTATCAGGCTTGGGTCAAGGGCAGGCAGCGAGAATCAGAGTCCGTATATCAGGCGTGGGTCGTGGGCAGGCAGAAGGCAAAGCAAAGTAAGAGACAGGCTGGAGTCGTACACAAGAGATCAGGCTGAATATAACGCTCAGTAATGCTGGCCGGGGCTGAACAAGACTTCGCATTTATAAACTATTATTTCACTGATTTCCCAGAAATGGGTTGCAGCTGGAATGGCATCCGCTGTGTAAAACATATTCTGGATAAGTTGGCAGTTCATTCCACTGTGGCGACCCCAGATTAATAAAGGGACTAAGCCGACAATAAAATGAAGGAATGAATGAATGAATTATACCACTGAATGAGATTTTAATGGTTGTAATTAACGATAAAACAATCAATGTATGAAAACAATCATGTTTGGCTTTAAAAGAACTTTACTGAAATTAAGCAAAACACATTACACATGTAAGAAATATACATTTAATACACTTGTGATATTTTTTTCATGTTTCAAACCTCATTTCGTTATTTGACCCATATAGAAGTTAAAATTATTAGCCATCCTGTACATTTTATTTATCTGTGTATTTTTTTAAATAATTTTTATTATTTGTTTTTATTTTTCTTACTTGTCTCTTTTCTTCCTGTGAAAAGCACTTTAAAATGTCACTGTGCATATAAATAAACATGCCTTGCCTTGCCTATTTTCTTTTTCAAGTATTTCCCAAATGATGTTTAACAAAGCAAGGAAGTTTTCACAGTTTCCAATAATATTTTTCCTACAGAGGAAAGTTTTATTTGTTTTATTTAGGCTAGAATGAAAGCAGCTATTATTAGCAATATTATTAGCCCCCTTAAGCAATATATATATATATATATATATATATATATATATATATATATATTTGAAGTCAGAATTATTAGCCCCTTTTGAATTTTTGCTGCTTTTTTTAATATTTCCCATATTATATTTAACAGAGCAAGGAAATTTTCACAGTATGTCTGATAATATTTGTTCTTCTGAAGAAAGTCTTATTTGTTTTATTTCGACAAAAATAAAAGCAGTTATTAATTTTTTAAACACCATTTTAAGGACAAAATTATTAGCCCCTTTAAGCTAACTTTTTTTTCGATAGTCTACAGAAAAAACCATCATTACGCAACAACTTGCCTAATTACCCTAACCTGCCTAGTTAACCTAATTAACCTAGTAAAGCCTTTAAAAGTCACTTTAAGCTGTATAGAAGTGTCTTGAGAAAATATCTAGTAAAATATTATTTACTGTCATCATAGCAAAGATTAAACAAATCAGTTATTAGAGATGAGTTATTAAAACTATCATATTTAGAAATGTGTTGAAGCAAATCTACTCTCTCTTGAACAGAAATAGGGGGGAAAAATAACAGGGGTTCTAATAATTCAGGGGGGCTAATAATTCTGACTTCAACTGTATATATATATATATATATATATATATATATATATATATATATATATATATATATATATATATATATATACAGAACAAACCAGCGTTATACAATGATTTGCCTAATAACCTGAATAACCATAATTGTCTAATTAACCTACAGTAGTTAAGCCTTTATATTGCACATTAAGCTGAATATCTTGAAAAATAGCTATCTATTAAAATATTATACAGTGTTATTATAAATAGGTTATTAAAACTATTATGTTTTGAAATGTGTTGAAAAAACGTATTTCTGTTAAATAGAAATTGGGGATAAAATATTCAGGGGGCTATAATTCAGGAGGGCTAATGATTATGACTTCAACTGTACAGAAAACCGCGTATTGTTTGTAAGTTACTTTACGTTTAATGTAGCCTAAAGATTTCAGCCTGAAACGATGTTTGTTATATAAACACGCCATGAACATAGGATATATGTTCATAAAAAGTGTTATCCATACCTGACTTTCCAGACCCCATCGCTCCTAAAATCACAATGTTCACCTCTGAGGGCTCGTGCTCGGGAACTGTGACGATATTGCAAGTTCGTGCTTTCCCGAACATTAGAGACATCCTGAAGACGAGTTAGATGATTAGCATGAAGAAGCAGATCCGAGTTAAACAGCCCATTTTAGTCTGAGTTCATACCTGCTGATGCTGATGTCCGATTTCTCACCAGCGATCTCTGCAGAACAGCTGGAGCGCGTTAATGTACTCGCTAATCCACATCTTCACAGCTGTGCAAGTTGTTTTATACTGCTTTCTTATGTCTCCTGGCTATTACAAGTGGACTCCTGGCTTAGGAGGATGGGAATGAGGAGTGAAATGTTGGGATATTTTGGTTCGGTGGGTTGGAGCACATGATTAAATGTGGGTCCGCCTCCCATGTACTTCAAATCTCACACTGTAAACGATTTAGAAATCGCTTCCTTAAAACCATGTCCCATAATATGAGGACATTTTCGGTTGAGCTTTTCTTCCCGCGCATTTTCCTCAAAGTAGTAAATGCGACTTAAATGGTTTTAAACAAAACTAAAGCTTTATAAAGTGTTATTGACAATATATTGGCTATTTTGTAGCCTATTCATCCCATTTAGAGTTAGTTTCTTTTTTTTAGCATTTGCAAATAACAATTAGCCTACAGGGAAAAAAACTAAACAGTCAAAAACAGAAGTTCCAAGTAGCCTATAATTGCAAATCCAAATAGCTTTACTACTAGCTACTACTACTACTACTACTACTACTACTAATAATAATAATGATAAAAATAATAAAACAATTAAAATTAAACCAAAACAATACAAAATGGAAGACATTAAGCTATTTACAGATCGGTGATCATTATAGTTTTTACATTTTTATAGCTTTAAGAGACTTCATTAAAAGAATACCTTTGCTTCCTTTTCCTAACAAAAGTTAATAAATAAGGGTGAATTTTGAACGACTGTTTTGTTTATAAACATTGTTAAGATTTGTTTATAAAAATCAATTGAAAATGCTAAAATTGACAATTGCAACTGCTTTTATCGTCATTTTCAAGATAGCAACTGTATTTCTTGTTTGTGTACAAGTGACAATTGTTCATAGTTTTCTTGCATCATAAACGGTAACGTGATAAAGCGACAACCAATGATACCACTTGACATTTCTTTCTCTAGTTTTGTAAATAAACACAGTTGCTTGTTTGCTTAAATGCATAATTTGAATGGTTTAGTGTAATGGTTGATTTTTATAATTGCCTATAATCTATATGTATACTTTATTTATGTATTTATTTTCTTATTTTTTGTTTGTTTGTTGAAATGTTTATCTGTTAGAACTCAAATTGTATTGCTACCAAAAACAAGTGACACAATTTCTTTCATTCCAATTACAACAAATAATTCCTGAAAGTCCTGCAGGAATTATAAAATCCTGCAGGATTTGTCACTTGCTTGGATCCATTGTAAAAACCTGTAGGAAATTCCTGCACATATTGTCAATGTGTCCTACAGGATTTTTGAATTCCTGCAGGACAGCAGCTTTTATGAAGGGAAAAAAATGAATCCTTCAGGATTCCTGCAAAAAGTACTGCATGATTCTAATACCTGTAGGAATTGCCTGCACATAATGTCAATTTGTCCTGCAGGATTTCATAATTCCTACAGGATACCAGCAGGTTCCTGCAGAAAAAAATGAAAATCCTGCAGGATTCCTGTAGGCTATTTTTGTAAGGGAGGCTGAACGAAATTTAGCTTCTTAAGAAGTTTACCCTGGTGAAGTAATGAGTGAGACATTTACTGCACCCAAATTCACATAGGTTATGTTGCTCTATTTGATTTGAAATTTGTACTTCTCTTCCTTTCACAAATCCTCTGCTGTGGCCTCATGGGAACGTAAACTGACCAACAGACAATACAGTAAGTCATCCTGGAACTTGTTGTCTTTTAAATAAAATTGGCTGTTTTAACTACTACAGTAAGAAATTACATTCAGATGCGATATATTTTAACCTTGTTTTTGTCATATGGCAAACAGAGATGGATTTAGTGATTTGGTGGCCCTAAGCAATTTCAGCTATGATATGATTATCTATTTATTTATTTGTTTGTTTGTTTGTTTATTTTTCTTTTTTGTTTATGTATTTTGCCGGCTTTTTCTTATATCACTTGATCCTCTTTTCAATTTTTTTTTTTCGAAAAATAAAAGAAAATTAAATAAAATTAATACATTTGTTTCGTTAATAAAATCTTCATCTGATTTGACTGCTGGACTGCTCCATGATTGGAGGTGGGGGACAAAATTGCATGGATGTAATAACTACATTGCAATTTTATTTGTTAGACCCTCACTTTATATATAATTTATACTTAAGTATTTATTGGGGGCCCTTAAATTTCCTGGGGCCCTAAGTGCCTGCTTACCACGTTAATTGGTTAAATCCATTTCAGATGGCACATATATATTGCAGAAATAGCATTACTTGTCAACAATATAAAAACTAAACCTGAAAATGTGTAATAAAACCTGAATCAACATTGACTTGGCTTTTTAGAAGCAGTGGTGCAGTGGTGTACTACTGTAATTAAGTAGTTTTTCTCAGGAATTGTACTTTAATTAGAAGTTTTAATATGTGTACTTTTACTTTCCTTTGAGTAAAGTTTCAGTGCTGTATCTGTACTTTTACTCCACTACTTTCCATCAACCTGCAGTCACTACTTCATTTGTTTCTCGTCTATGGTGATTGGCTAAAACAGAAAAATCAGTCTGATTGTGATTCATGTCCAATCAAATCGCACAGAAAGTAAATTGCATGATACTGAACAACATCAATACATGGGCAATTAATAAATGCAGCAAACCTTTTGGAAGCATTAAAAATGTCCCAGAACATATCCAAAAACTTTACACACAATGACGCAGAGGCTTTTAATAGACTGGATATCATTGATGAGAATTTTTTTTTTTTTTTTAAGAATGTCGACAGTATGATGATTGAAATCGCCAAACAGCCTTTAACAATCACTAATTGGAACAAATGAAAAATGGAAGGAAGGACCGAACAAAGGAAGGACTGAACTAATGAAGGAAGGAAGAACCAAATAAATCAAAGAAGGATTCAAGGAAGAACTGAAAGAAGGAACAAAAATATAATAATAATTAATAATATTAATAATAATAATTCCTTACATTTATATAGCGCTTTTCTGGGCACTCAAAGCGCTTTACACATAGGGGGGAATCTCCTCATCCACCACCAGTGCGCAGCATCCACCTGGATAATGCGACTGCAGCCATTTTCGGGCCAGACCGCCCACCACACACCAGCTGTTTGGTGGAGGGGAGACAGAGTGATGAAGCCAATTATGATGTGGGGAGATCTAGGAGGCCAGTGGGCAAAATTGGCCAGGATGCCGGGGTTAAACCCCTACTCTTTTCGAAGGACATCCAGGGATTTTTAACCACCACAGAAAGTCGGGACCTCGGTTTGACGTCTCATCCGAAAGACTGATATGAACGAATGATTAAGCGAACGAATGAAGGAAGGAATGAAGGAAGGACCAAATGAATAAAGGAAGGAAGAAACAAACAAACGAATGAAGGAAGGACAGAAAAAAGGACCTAATGAAGGAAGGAGCAAAAATATAAAGAACGAATAAATAAATGAGCCAATGAATGAAAAGAGGAACCAAGAAGGACCAAATGAATGAAGGAAGGATTCAAGGAAGAACTGAACAAACTAAGAAAGGAAAGAAGGAACGAATAATTAAATGAATTAAAGGACCTAATGAAGGAAGGAACAAAAATATTAACGAACAAATGAATGAAGGGAGGAACGAAGAAAGGACCAAATGAATGAATATAGGATGGAAGGACAGAGCAAACAAACAATGGAAGAAAGGTTGGAAGGAACCAACGAATATAGGAAGATCACTAAATGCACTACAGAATATTACGTTTACACGTCCCTGCACAAACTGCATGTAAATGAATCGACTTTTTACAGTGTAATCCTCACTTCTCACTGAAAGGGCAACTTTTTACTCATATTTTGAGTAATTTTACAACAGATACTTTTACTCTACTAGCACTACATTTTTGGGCAAGTAATGGTACTTTAACTTGTGTATGATTTTTCAGTTCTCTTTTCACCACTGTTTAAAAGTTATAATTTTAAACCATAATATTTCCATTAAACAACAGTATGAGGCTAACCTGTTCAGATGACATCTTTATTAGATGTAAACAATATTGATCGCAGCAGAGATGACGCACAACCAAAACATGTTTTCCATCAAGACGCATACAGCTTTATTTACTAACTAACAAAAGTTACATATTATATTGAAGTTGTGCAGTATATCAGTATTATTCTTTAAATTAACAGATGACTTCACATTTATTATCAATTCTCTAGATTTGACATTTAATGTGTTTTACTCAGAACGTGTGTGCACATACACAGTATAGATATGGCAGTATAAAGCATTAATAGCTATGTAAGAGACCATTTGAGGGGAAAAAGATTTATGGATGTACTGAATTTATTAAGTACACGTTTAAGTGAAATGTTAATATTTGCTTTAGAAAGCTAGGTAGGGATTTACAGTAAGGACAATGATATAGTAATATAACAGTATAGGTATATGAGTAATTGTTTTCATTTACTGTGATTGAAAATCAGCTATTCCACTGCTTTCTTTGTGGTGTTGTCTCATTGGGTTAAAAAAAATATATATATATATATATATATATATATATATATATATATATATATATATATATATATGACTGTGGGGGCCATTTATGTACAGTGAACTCATTGTCATGATCAAGAAAGCAATCTGAGATGATTCGTGCTATATGACATGGCGCGTTATCCTGCTGGAAGTATCCACTAGACTATATACACACACATACAGTTGAAGTCAGAATTATTAGCCACCCTGAATTATTAGCCACCCTGAATTATTAGCACCCCTGTTTATTTTTTTTCCCCAATTTCTGTTTAACGGAGAAGATTTTTTTCAACACATTTCTAAACATTATAGTTTTAATAACTCATTTATTAAGGTTTAATAACTTCTTGTCATGATGACAGTAAATAATAATTGACAAGATATTTTTCAAGACACTTCTATACAGCTTAAATTGACATTTAAAGGCTTAACTAGGTTAATTGGGTTAACTAGGCAGGTTAGGGTTATTAGGCAAGTTATTCTATAACGATGTTTTGTTCTGTAGACTATCAGAAAAAAAATATAGCTTAAAAGGGCTAATAATTTTGACCCTAAAATGGGTTTTCAAAAATTGAAAACTTCTTTTATTCTAGCCAAAATAAAACAAATAAGACTTCCTCCAGAGGAAAAAATATTATCAGACATACTGTGAAAATTTCCTTGCTCTGTTAAACATCATTAGGGAAATATAAAAAAAAGAAAAGAAAATCAGTAATAATAATTCTGACTTCAACTGTACATATATACACTGTCAACAGTTTCCTATAGAATCTACAGTAACTTACTAGCAGGAGTTCGCCAGTAAATTACCCTACAGCAATTACAGCAAACACACTGTATTACCATTTACAGCGACATTACGGCATTTATTTACAGTCTCCCATTGAACATCAGGATTTCGCCATCCTTGGATACTTGTAAATCTAACTTAAAACCTTATTTTTACTGCCTTGCCTTTAAGGGACTCATACATGTAATTTATTATCTGTATTTTAGTATTACATATATATTTCCTTTTATTACATTTTAAATACAAGTTTTATTTTTTCATAAAACAATTCAAGTTTCTAATACAAGTTTATTTTTATTCCATTGTAAAGCACTTTGGATCAACTACGGTTGTATAAAATTGTACTCTATAAATAAAGCTTGCCTTGCCTTGCCTATTATAAATTATACAGTCATTTTCACAACGCAACTTTAAAATACAATAACATACTGCATAACTGTCCTACAGTTTATATTACAGTTAAATACTTTGTAGTTTACAAAAATTGTTAACAGTGTACAGTAAGCATACAAGATGTCATTTTTTTTTACATTTAGTATTTTCCTGCATTTTTATATATATTTTTGTATCAGGCACCCCCTTCTTCCAAAAGAAGCTGCTCACAATACATTCGGATGGTATTTTGAGAAGTCACGTGGTCACCAGAAATAAAGACTGACCCTATACAGGCATACCATTGTTACAGCTCGGGCCAGTTCACCTGTTCATCAAAGGCAGTAGATGAAATGTTCAGGCTGCTTTTAATGTCTGCCAAGAACAAAAGGGTAATAAATAACCCTGATGACGGCTGCCCTCCACAGCGATGGCTATCTGCCACTGCTTTCCAAGCGGCATAATGCTGCCACTCTTTGCACTTCTATGTATAGCAGATTCTATTCTGGTAGTAATACAAACACACTGCACACCAACACAAGAGCATCTGCTCGACACCGAAACACTGTCCTTTCAGAAGATCATGGAGGATCACTGGTTTGACCATACAGCGGACTTTCCTCTAGAGTTAAACTCAAAATGACAGGAGGAAATTTGATGGAGAACAGCAGCTGTGCATGCTCAGAGAAGCTACACCAGCCGACGGATTTCCAAAAAATAAAAGTGAAATTTGGCAAAAACGTTTTCACGCTGGACAGAAGCCTCCTCGAGGAGAACTGCGATTTCTTCCGGGCTCTTTTCCAGTCTGGGATGAAGGAATGCCATCAGGATGAGATAAGTCTTCAGAAGCCGAGCGTTCGAGGATTTTATATCGCTCTCCGTGTGATAAATGGCGAAAGTCCAATGCTGAACGATCACGAAATCGTTGACGCCATCGAATGTGCTGCCTTCCTTCAGATTGAGATTTTAACTGAGCATCTTATAAATATTATAAACTCAGACAACTGCCTTCTTATGTACCACACGGCTTCGACTTTCGGTTTGCGTGAGCTCTTCAAAAGCGCGTCATTGTTCATTCGAGACATGTATTCGGATCTAAAAGAACATGCAAAGTGCTTGCCTGAGGATTTGATTGACTATGTTGAGACTTTAGTTCCCAGTACGTACGTCATGGTTGGCACTCATTCGCCAGGTATCAAGCTTTTGCAGGACTTCATGAGGACTGTTTGTTATCTTGATGAGGATGAGAAAGACTGGAAGGTTCTTACACATTTGCCTCTCAACGCCAGCACAACCATGGCAGGAGTTACGGCTTTAGACAATAAGATCTACATTGTCGGAGGAGTTTATGATATGACTAATAAAGTGGTGGATTCGGGATTCTGCTATGATGTGTTGACGGACACTTGGAGCACATTTTCAAATCCCCAGCAGCTTCGCTTTAACTGTACGTTAGTCGGACATGATGGCGATTTGTACGTAATTGGCGGAGAATATGAAAAAAGCGTAATGTCTTCTGTGGAAAAGTATCGAGTCTCATCGGATACTTGGAGCTTTGTTGCGCATCTACCAAGAGCTGCATCTGCTGTCGCTTGCACCAAAGCAATGAGAAGATTGTTCATCTGTCTTTGGAGGCCTAAAGACGCTACCGAGATTTATGAATATGTGGCAAAGAAAGACGAATGGAGGTTAATCACGACACTTGTTCGGCATCAAAGTTACGGACATTGCATGGTGGCTCACAGAGATAATTTGTACGTGATGAGGAACGGGCCGTCGGATGATTTTTTGAGGTGCATGATGGATTGTTATAATCTGACTTCAGGTCAGTGGACGGCTTTGGCCGGGCAGTATGAAAACAGTAAAGGAGCTTTGTTTACCGCGGTAGTCAGAGGAGACTCTGCGTTCACTGTGAACCGCAGGGCGACTGTGGAATACGCTATCGAGGACGATAAGTGGAGGACCAAAAAAGAAATGACAGGGTTTCCGCGAATCGGCTCCAAGTGGACTTTCCTCTTGAGACTGCCAAAGAAAAGAGAGGAGATTTCAGAATTGAACAAGGGTAGAGAGGAGATCTCCTGCGATTTCAGATCGAGTGCTTCTGTACATTGTGAAGACTAAGATTTGATCATGGTTGTAAACGTTATGGATCGACGGAATGGCACATTGGCTCAGTGTCTCAAATATTTAATTGACTATTAGAAAAAGAAATGTATTTATAAGGAGAGCACAGTAGCGCAGTGGGTTGCATGTTCTCTCGTCTTGCCGCGGGTTTCCTCCGGGTGCTCCGGTTTCTCCCACAGTCCAAACACATGGGGTACAGGTGTATTGAATAAGCTCAATTGGCCATAGTGTATGGGTGTTTCCTAGTGTTGGGTTGTGGCTGGATGGGCATCCCCAGTGTAAAACCTATGCTGCATAAGTTGGGGGTTCATTCTGCTGTGGCGACCCCTGATTAATTAAAGGACTAAGCGGAAAAGAATGAATGAATGAATGAAATTTATTTATTATTATAATTATTTCTGTTTTTCTTTTCATTAAACATTTGGATTGCTTAAAGCAATAGATATTACCCAAACCTCTTCTCTGTGACATGCTTGAATACTAATTAGCATTTTGCAGAAGTAGATGGAGCTGATGAAAATGCAAAGGCCTGAATGTCTAAAATTTATTTGAGCTCTGCAGCTAAACTACCTGTGAGCAGAGATGGGTTAAAACTGAACACAGGATATTTGCAGTTGAGAAGTCTTGTGCTTTTAATGTTGTGCAGAGAATTTATAGAAGAAGATGAAGTATGTTTGGGTGCAGCCGCCGGAGGACTGGAGAATGATCGACAAGTGACAAATTCCACTAAACCCCACCTCTTAATATCAGCTGAGGGCCTTACTTTATATGAAGTGTCCTTAACTACTATGTACTTACATAAAAAAATAATAAATACAATGTACTTACTGTGTTTATAATGTATTTGAGAACACTTGTGGTGCTCTTGAGTTGGGATAGGGGTTGGGTTAGGGACAGGTTTGCGGGTGTGGGTAGGTTTAAGGGTGGGTTAAGGTGTAAGGGATGGTCAGCAGTGTATTTACAAATGTTATTACAGAAGTTAATTACAGATGTAATTACATACAGGTATTAAAGCAAGCATAAGTACACAGTAAATACATGTATTTACACAATAAGTACATTGTAACAAACTATTAATTTATTATTATTAATTTTATATTAATGTGTAAGTACATATTAGTTAAGGCCACTTAATATAAAGTGGGACCCAGCTGTGTATAAACTCTTGAGTCAGGAGTCAGCTGAGTCAGGAAATGTAGGCCCAGTTTCACAAACAGACGGTGCTCACTGCAGAGCCATTTGAGCAGAATTGAGCTCCAGCGAGGGGGAGCATGAGCTCCCGCTCCTCCTCCTGTAAGCTGTTTTAATGCGTAAACCAACCCCACCCCTAACCCTACCCCCAGTGACATCACTCGAAGAAGAAGTGCAGGAAAGGAGGAGCTCAAGCTCAAGCTCCCCCTCACTGGAGCTCAGCTCTGCCCAAATGGCTCTGCAGTGAGCACCACTTGCAAACAGGGCTTAGATTAAGCCAGGACAAGGCCTTAGTTAAATTAGGCTATTTAAGACACATTTATAAAAAATGGCCTTAGAAAAATATTACTGATGTGCACCTGGAGACAAAAAAATTACACTGACATATTTTAAGACATCTCACCGCAAGTTATTTTGAGTTGAGACAGCTCAAACATGCAATTTAATCTTGACTAGCCTTAAACCTTGTTTGTTAAACCGGGGGATAGAGTTGTTGCGCACCTCCTGAATCTAATTCTTGTATTGGGGATAACTTCATTTGTATACAATAAATTACTAATATTTGCAACACTGAAGAAAACCCTCTCCTGACCTTTTTTTTTGAACACATGGAATTGATTAAATATTCCAACATGACAGGAAATGTAGTTGGGGTTCACATTGTTTTGTGTTATTATTTACAAAGTAGCTGCTTTTAGATGTGTGGTAAGAGTAAATGAAGATTTCATCTTCGGCAAAAGCAGCCAAAATGTCATGAAAGCTGGACAAACGTAATATTAAAATTAATAATGACAATATGTTGTAATATCATACAGAGACCCGGAAGGGACGTGATGGTGGGGGAAAAATAGGTGTGGGAAAAAACTTGGTGGAAGAAAAAAAAACAGAGTGAAAGGAAAACATGTATTTTTAAGTTGTTTTTTTTTTTTTTGCGTTCCCTCGCAAAGACGTTTTGCCTTATCTCGCAAAACTGTTTCTCCACATACACTTCCTGTCCTTTTCATGTAAACCCTCCTGTTTTAGCCGAAATTCTCCCGTATTTTACCATTCTATCCCACTATCATCCTATCATTGAGTATTTTCCCATATTTGTGATCTATTTTTAATCTTGAAAGCACGCTGAAATTAATAATAAAGTGTCTGCATTCACTTTATTTACATTAAAGCTGTGCGTCGATCAGCTTTCGGTTTAGGTTGGGGGGGATTTGTCGCGCGCATACTGAATATCGGTGGGTGGACGGTTGTCGCGTACGTACTGAAGAGCATCGCGGGAGGGGGGATGGATTGTAGCGTGCTTACTTATGAGCCGGGTGGGGAGGGGGATGGGGGGGTACTTTAGATCGTTTTGGAAAGGCACTTTCTATACAAGACTAAAAAGGGCATGTGCACTGCACAGGTTGAGCCCTATGTGTGCACGTGCCTGATCAGTTTATTGTACGGAGCGCGTCTGTCAGTCTGCGCTTATACATGCATTCACTGGTTCAGAGGTAGAAAGGCGACGATCGACGCACAACTGTAATGTAAAGAAAGTGGAATAGAATGGTAAAATATGGGAGAATTTCGGCAAAAACGGGAGGGTTTATGCGAGTGAAGTGAACAGGAAGTGTTTGTGGAGAAACAGTTTTGCAAGGAAACGCAAAACATCTTTGCGAGATAACACAAAACTTTGCGAGATAACGCAAAAACTTAGAAATATATATTTTCCACCCACCCATTTTTTTCTTTCACCCATTTTTTTTTCTCCACCCAGCCAATTTTTTCTCCTCCACTACGTCCCTTCTGGGTCTCCGTAATACGATGATTTGGTGCTTGAAAAACATTTATTGAAATGTTTTGAATTGTTTATTTTGAATAATATGCTAACTAAAAATCCCACATTAACATTTAATCATGTGCTAGATCAGGCGAGAAGCTTTTAGGCCTCCATTTTCATAGTCCACACTGAAAACCACGTTTTTCACTTCCTAAAAATTGCGTCTTGGTGTGGACGGAAGGCCAAAACCAAGAGAAAATATGCATTTTTAAACTAAAATGTATTAGTGCGGACATGGCAGTTACGAACTGCCATGAGATTGCATTGATTCGATCATGTTCGGTATTAACTCTAAGAATTCAACCTCAACCGACAAGCCTCTCGACCTTTACAAGATGAGTTCATTTTATAAACATTAAACACCATTATAATGAAACTGAAATCATAGATGAATAGGTGCAATAAATGTTTATAAACAGTGTTCACAAACCACCAAACGCTGTAGCTGAAACATGAGCCGTAATCAGGCCTGAAGACAGCCGAGACCATGTACTACAGCCCAGGTAATCCAGAGAACACCACAAGAGTCCTGAAGAGACACGGAGTCAGCGTGAACAAACAATAAGCGAAGCAAAGAAATGCTGCTCAGATACAAGCTGCGGTCACACCAGAGTTTGAGCTTTCGAAATTCTGTCGTACGGCTCTGCGAAAAGGGGCGGGATTAAACAAGATGATTAGACATTTAAAAAGCGAGTGATTGCTCCATGTTTTAAATTTCTGTCCAGAGAGGTCAGGTTTTGATCCTTGATTGGTCGCACACAGTCTAGTGATGTGATTTCACAGGTCAGAGTTCACCAAGCTTGAACTTTGCACCGCAGCAACCTGCGAAACTTGACGCATGACCCTGCGTTTCTGTGTGTGACGCATTCGCGTGTGTATGGGAGGAAAAGCCCAGTGTGACCGCAGCTATAGGCACAGAAATTAACCACAACTGAAGCATCTGATTGTCGTCAAGCAATTGTAACCGTACTCTCTTTTGCTCTGCGTTGTGTAGTGAATGACGAGAGGACACCATTTTGAGTCTGCACAGAGAATGTTATTATGACAGATCGGCAGCTTCAGCTCATTACATTAAATGTACACTCCTTAGTTCAAGGTAAAGGTGGAAAAGGAAAAGGTGAATGAAAGATAGAGGAAACGAGCGAGAGGCGCCGCGGAAGGACGCGAAGACAGGAAAGGGAAAGAGAAAACCACTTCTCACAATTACGAAAATCAGCATGTGAACAGTGACAATCCACATATTACATTGTCAAAATAAAAATCATAAATGCATACCTGCACAGAGAATGTTATTATGACAGATCGGCAGCTTCAGCTCATTACATTAAATGCACACTGTCAACAAAAATAACATTCTACAATATAACAAACTGTTTTTACATCAGTAAATATATCAAATGATTCAAATTAAACTTAAATATGCATTTGTGTGTGTGTTAATTATGGCCAGAGCCAAATTCAATTTGGAACAGGTAGAGCATATACCTCCTTAGTTCAAGGTAAAGGTGGAAAAGACCGCTCAAGCAATAGTGCAACAGGCATGGCTGCTTGGACTATACCACCTTGACATTAACCCAAGGGGGGGGGGGAGAAGAGGTGAAACCACTGTCACTTTACAGACTCTTTTTACATTTATATTGTGAACAAAAAACTATTTTACATGAACAGTAAGTAAACAGGAGGAAAATATAGTGAAATCAATATATCCAAAATAATCCTGTTAACACAATGAAACCACATGACCACAACACAGACACACAACAACAAACGCACGTGGCAGGGCCGGAGTGGGACTCCTTTTCAGCCCTGGAGTTTCAAGCCTCAGACCGGCCCACCTCAGTTCACGACTGACTATATTAAAATAAGGTCATTTCCAAATCAATTTCTAATCACACTATCACGTCTTTTTTTGAGAAAACAGCTGCTTTAGAACTACAAATGTTCAACAACCCTAACAGTTTTATATGTCTTAAAAATAAAAATGAAAAAAATATATTACTCAGGCGAGGATCGAACCCGGGTCTGCGACGACAGTAGCTAACGTGCTATTCACTGAACCACAACATCTCTTTATCATCCTGTGACCCATCTAAGTTATATCATCATCAACCTGTAGGCTGCAACTTGCTCACTGAGCTGCGAGAAAATAATGAATAAAAAGGCTGTGGTCAAGTAAATACATAAATAAAT